TAAGTGAAGATGATCTACACGATACCAGTGAAAATGATTTACACGAAGTAAACGAAAATAATCTATACAATGTAGACAAAAATGATCAACGCGATATAAGTGGAAATGATCTGCACGATACAAGTGAAAATCAAGGAAATATCACAATGTTGCTAAAAGTTTCATAACGAAAAAGCGAAAAATACAAAATTGTTATCCTTGCATTAGGATTATCCGGTACGTTACTGTTCGGTTCAAACGTTTTCTTAGCTCGTTCTAACCAATATCAAAACTAAGACGACACAAGTAAAAGACCCGAAAGGTTTGCTCATATCGAGTCTTCAGTGGTAACAGAACTAATAACAAAACACGGCATGCGCACATATGGATATCGTAATAAGAGGATCTATAGCTATCGCGGTTCATGAATCGAGATAGAAGAAAGAATAAAAGTGTAGCACGCTTATGTATAACGCAAGGGTTGAAGAGCCTCTATTATTGTAAAGCAGTGGGCGATGAGCCCAGAGATTGCGTTCTAGAGGGATGCATTCCTCTTCGTTCCCTTCCGTCACCCTCCACGAATCTCCCTCCTCTTTCCTCGTATTTGTGCGTTACCATCCTCTCTTTCACTCGCGTTTTGTCGACGAAATTGCATTTTCCCTTGGTACAGCATCGCGGTTCACCGACCGAAACGAAGGCAAACGTCAGCTCGCAGGGATGGCTTAGCATTTTGAAACACCTGCAACTTTGCACGCACAAACATTTGGGTACAATAGGCTGACCTTTATACAGCTCCACATTTTTTTTCCACATTTTCACCCCCTAAAATTTTTGCATTTTGTGGAGAAATGATGATTGCGAAGTTTCAGAATTCAGTTCTCAATTTTTTGTAAAATGTATTATTTTGTTTGCTCACTTTTGATCAACAGATATTCAGGTGTACATAAATCTAACACCACGTTCAGCGGTATTACTTTGGAAGCTGAAAAATGGCCACCCTAATGTCCAAACATGTTATATATATGTTAACCATAAACATATATGTTATATATGTTAAGGGGGGCAATACCTTTAGAATCTTAAAAAATTACAACATTTTTTTTCTATAAAATGTTAGTGTAACATCTTAAAAATATTGTCTCAGAATTTTAAAGTGAAATACTAACCCTTTTAAAGTTATGGCCGATTAGCGCCGCGGGTATTCACGCGTTCAGTGCGGAGGACTGAAACTTTAAACGTGTTTTTCTCAAAACTACATTCTTAAAATTGGCGTGGCTGATAACTCTAAAACTAGTTTATCAATCGCGTTCAAATTTTTTGCACATATCCATGACAATACTGTCTAACATATGAACCTAAATGTATGAAA